ATGGGATTAGTTGTATTGCAAGTCATTAGCATAAAGAATCAGTGTGAGTCAAAGCAGATCAAGCTGGCTGCTAATCAGAGCTAATAGCTTTATTTTACCCAGCGGTGGCCCTCCTTCCACGGCTAGAATAACACCTCTGACTCATACTGGTGTTTCACCTCATAAACAAAACCTTTGATCTTTGACACATGCTTTCATGCACTGATTATACAGTATGGATATAAACCTTCTAAAGACATTCTCTAAAAATGTAAAGTGTCTACATATATAACAAACATGTCAAAATGTAACTGAAAAGCAGCAAACGTGCTTTGGAAAACCTGCTGTACATTTTTTGAATCACGGTTACACTTTGAACACTTTGGCCTGATTTTTTTTTCTTGGTTTGTGAAGTCTATTACTGTAAATCCCAACTGCTTAGCTCAAACAGAAACTGAATCCACGGCTCATTTAATCTGCCAATTTTCTTGCGTAAGCCGTTACAGGTCATGCTATTTATTTTGTGTAATTAATAAATGTGCAAGTAAATTAATATTACAATACACAGCTGATAACTGCAAAAACATGACTGCAAAATTAACCATGCTGAAAAATTAACCACCCTTTATAAAATCAGGGATTTAGGCTACCGGAGGAATTTTACCTCTCTCTCCCTCTCTCTCTCTCTCTCTCTCTCTCCCTCTCTCTGTTAAACTGTTATAGACTCAAACCATTGTTTTCCGTTATAAAGGATGTATTTAAAAAATGCAATGAGGTATTCTCACAAGAGATTTTCATTTTAGGATGTAAATATGTCAAACAACAAAGAAAAAGTTTGTGTGTCAACTGCTTAATTTTGTGGTGGGACAAGCAAAAATGGCTATCTATTTAAGCAGGAAAAAAAATTTAACAGGATGTAGTACAAAACATTGTTGTATTGTTTTTTTTTAACTTAGTACAATCTAGAATCTTAATTGATTTTTTTTATTATAAATGTATTGGTGATTTGTTTTCCTTTGAAAATATTTGGAGCTGTAATGATGCTCTATTTGTTTTCGTTGTTTTTTTTTTTAGTTTCAATTTCTGGTTATATAATTGTAACGATGATTTTTTTGTAAATAAAAGCTTTGTGAATTCTCAAAAAAAAATTCTCTCTCTCTCTCTCTCTCACACTTTTTTTTTTAAAGGGACAGTTCACCCAAACATAAAAAATCATCCATAATTTACTCACTGTCATGTTATATCATGTTATGACTTCCTTTCTTGAACACAAAAGAAGATATTTTGAAAAATATAAAACAAACAAAAAAGAAAAGTCTGTGGGGTTGAAAGTTGTTTGGATCCCAAAGTTCTTAAAAACATAATCTTTTCTGTTCAACAGAAGTAAGAAGGTTATGGGAATTTCCAAATCACAAATGTCACCTTGCTGAGCAAACAAACCAAAAGAAATAAATGTAGGCCTACTGTGTTTTAGTTTGAAATCCAAGTCAAACGGTATTGGAAATGTATAAACGACTGCTGAGTTTAACAAATTCAGAACAGGTTTCAGGACATACAGCAACAGTCAAAACTTTGGGGTTGGTAAGATTTAGTATTTTTAAAAAGAAATAATCAATATTTTTATTTAGCAAGGATGCATTAAACATTCTATTTATCAAATAAACCTGAAAAAAGTATCACAGTTTCATCAGCACAACTGTTTTCAAAATTGATAATAATAATAAGAAGAAATGTTTCTTGACCCAAATCATCATCAAACCAAATCAAGGATCATGTGAAACTGAAGACTGGAGTAATGATGCTGGTAATTCAGCTTAGAAAAAAACATTTATTTTAAATTGAAATAATATTTCACAATATTACTATTTTTACCATATGTTTTAATTTGAAAGAGTTTCACCGCACTCACGGCAAACAAGGTGCCAGACAGATACCACTTGACAACCCAAAAAATAAATAAATTGTCAGCACACTTGAGTCCTTAAAGCAAAATGTAATGCCAAGCTTTCGGTAATACAACCATCCTCAGGGCATGACTTAAACCATGATGCCCTGAGGATGGTTGTATTAAAAGCTTGGCATTAAATTTTGCTTTAAGGACTCAAGTGTGCAGACAATTTATTTATTTTTTGGGTTACCATATGTTTTAATAAAATAAATGAAGCAACAGAGACTTCTTTCAATAACTGAAATTTGAATAATAAAAAAAGCAATAAAGAGAGACATTTTGCAAAGAACATGCTAAGAATACTTTGCTGATATGATAAAATCAGCAACTTTGCACGTGTTCATTTGTGTGCAGTAAATTTTGTTACATTGAGCCAGTTATGACACAGTAATGTTGTATAAAAAAAACTTTTAAATGTTGTGTAAAAACGATTGATATGTACCTGTAGATCATTTTGGTGTTGGTGCTCACTGAGTCCTTTAAGGAGTACCCATGGATCTGCATAAAACAGGCCAGCTGCTGAAGCTCAATGGCAGAGCTGGATCTACCTTTCCAGTGAGGACAACCTGCGGTGTGGTCTGAGCTCAATCCTGCCTGCTGTCTCAGGTGGAAGTGGCCTGTGGTTCTCTCAGAGCGCTGAGAAAATCTCTGCCTGGGGAAAGGAATGTCACTGCAAGCTGCCTTGTACAGGTACATTTTGCTGGAAATGCTGTCATAAAGATGTGAGAACTTGTGATGCGAGGGCAGTTTTTATATTAGCACACAGAGCTTTTAGCTTGGATAAACAACTGCGGCCAACTGAGGCCAATCCAAATACAGGACATCACCCGTGGAATTGTAATCCTTTAGTACCATCCACTTGTGGCTTTTCTGACCTCAAGGCATTCCAGTGAACAATAGGAGATAGATTTGTAAGTCATCTAAAATCCTCATGTTCCCTGTGCGACTGTAGTCAGAAAATCCAAATCTCTGAGCAACAGCTGTACCTACAATTCCATTGTTTCCCTAATTCCATAAATTAAAAAATCTAAACCCATCGGTTTATGACATTGTATTATTCTAGTTAATTTGTTAATTAGATAACAAAATCAGCTCTTGCATGGCATCAGTGCCGACTGCCAGCTCCTCCTTTGGTTTAAGCTGGGAAAAGCTTGGCCATATTTATAACATCAGGTCAGATCAGTTGAATGGTATGCAGAGGATTTCAGCCAGAACACATATGGTGTAGCATGGCTCCTGTAACCTCTGTTTACTTACAGAATTATCCATTGGATGATCCTGTGTCCTGTTTTACAGAGTTTTTGTTCTACCAGCTGCTAATCTTTCTATGATGCTCAAAAATGCTGACTTGTTATACTGACTAATTTAACAAGATTTGTTCTCGATTCAGACTCGCCTACATAAATTTGATCTCAATTCAGACTCGCCTAAATTTATTCTCAATTTACACTCGCTTACATAGATTTGTTCTCAATTCAGACTCGCCTGCATTAATTTGTTACCAATACTATTTTATTTCCCAAAAATAGATTTGTTCTAAATTCATAGTTGCTGAGATTTGTTCTCAGTTCAGTTGATTTGTTCTGTTTTTTTTTTTTTTTTTTTTTTGCTTATTCAGATTTGCCTTGAAGTTCAGACCCAGTTTAACAGATTTGAACACAAAATCAGATTTATTTAAACAGCCTCAAACTCAAGACACACATCAAGACATTTTCCAAAATGGCTGCTCTCAAAATAATTTGTTTGTATATTTAAATGCGCAAATTTGTTGTCAAATTCAGACTCAAATGGATGTAGTTCAAATTCAGACAAATCCGTTCTCAATTAAGACTCACATAACAGGCTACTTCAATTCAGGAATGCTGAGAATGGAAGAATAAGAGAGTGACGGATTCAGTGTCTCTGAACATTGTTTTTGTGAAAAATATGTGGGAAAAAGAGATATGTGAAAAAAGAATGCTGCAGAGAGAGAAACTACATGACAGGAATACTGATCACTAGCTAGACAGATTCGCCTATCACGGCTGCAGGCAAAACACATTCAGCTGTGGCAATGACTTAAAGCTCCATATACTTACTGTCACATACACAGTCAGTTTCCCTGACTGAAGCAGGCTAAATTAATAGACATGGCTCTGAAAGATAAATTTTGAGAGAAAATGAATTTCATTAAACTTTAATAATCTTTAAACAAGGCAAGTCATGTGTTGATGCTACTAGGTTTCTGTATCCATGGGAAATAAAGTGATTTGAGAGGCTGCGAGGGACAGTGATGAACCAAATTTCTCAGAAAAATATTGAAAAGTGGGTCCCTGAAAATACTCAATGCTCAGGTCAATTGACTTGATAAAGTTTCTGACATTAACCTGCATGGCCGCATACAGTGAGAAGAAAAATGACGTTATTGTTAAATAAAAGCAATATTTCAAAGAGATATAAATAATTCTGAACAACTGAGCCGCCTGTTTCTCCTTGACATTCATAAAGGGCATTGATCCAACACAACTCTACTGATCACAAACTAACGTTACTCGGCTTCAGGCCTGCAATAATTTTGATAAAGTAAACCAAACACGCCCTCTAGTGGTTTTACTTAATTTACAGGTGTAAACGTTCATTCACATGTATAACCTTCTTGTTGTTGAGAAGAGATATACATCACAGATTAATCCATATTTAATTTATAGAACAGGTACAGACTTATCTAACACTAGGAAACATAGCCAGTTTCTTAATTACCTGATCTTAATTAGGCCTATGTTTAATTAATACCATAAACTTCGGACCAACAATATAGCCTAATAAATACGGAGTAAAGCTCTATTTGAAAGTGTAAAGTTTATCGCACTCGCTACAAAATTATTTTAGGCAAATTCTCTTAGTTATTAAATAAAGTTGTTTTATTGTAGCTATATTGTTTTAAGTTCCTTAAATTGTTAGATAATTTGAAAATGTGTTCTAAAACACAACCTCGGTAAGACTTCAATTGTCAACTGTAAACTTACTATTGATATAATGATTTACATCGATCGATGATAGTTTTGTAAATTTTATGGCATACTATTTTCATAGAAAAAAAAAACAAAGACGCAGTTGAGCTACAAGAATCCGCGTGCAGTCTCCATGGAAATGCTAAACTCCAGCCACCCGGAAGAGCAGCACAGCGACGCCTAAAAAAAAAAACTAAATAGAAAACTGTACAAAATACTTTACCTTCTCGTCAAAACTGCAAAAGCGAATAATAAAGATGGAGGGTCTTGCGTCCGTGCATCATCTCCAAGCGCTGTCCGCCCTGCTCTCTCCAAACAATGAAGATGAGGAAGAAGATTTCCAGGTCGCTTTATACAAATCCAGTTTTACATTGTCGGCTTGTGTTAAGGATAAGTCGGATATTTTTTTTATTTTTTTTTTCTTCCAGAAAGTGAATCCCATAGCAAAGCTGGGCCCGGGACATATCGGTTATCCTGCTGCACCTTCGGGGGATAAACACAAAGAGGGTAGGCCTAACGTTATGTGTAGCTAATATTAGGCTATTATTCTTATTATTTTAAAATGGTATATATATATATATATATATATATATATATGATTGATTTATATTTTAAGTTTGATTTAAGTCTCTTATACTCTTCAAGCCTGCATTTATTTGATTAAAAATACAGAAAAAACAGTATTGTGAAATATTATTACAATTTTAAATAATCTAATATTTTATTATAATTTAAAACATAATTTATTTCTGTGATGCAAAGCTGCTTTTTCCTCAGTGTGACATGATCCTTCAGAAATCATTCTAATATGCTGATTTATTATCAATGTTGGAAACCTTTTTGATGCTTAATATTTTTATTATAACCTGTGATGTTTTTCAGGATTCTTTGATTAATAAAAAGTTGTACAATATACACTACTATTCAAAAGTTTGTGTTCAGTATGTTTTTATTTTTTTATTTTAGAAAATAAATACTTTTATTCAGCAAGGATGTGTTAAATGAATATACATAAAATATATTGTTAGAAAACATTTCTATTTTGAATAAATGAAGTTCTTTTGAACTTTTTATTCATCAATGAATCCTGAAAAAAGTATCACAGGTGGCAAAATAAAAACTGTTTTCAACATTGATAATAACTGAGTATCAAATCAGCATATTCGTTTTCTAAAGGATCATGTGACATTGAAGACTGGAGTAATGGCTGATGTAGTTTTTCTGTATTTTTGTTCAAACAGATGCAGGCTTGATGAGCAATAGAGACTTTCAAAAAACATGAAAAAAATATGAATATTAATTTCCAAACTTTTGGTTCCGGTAGCCTACTGTATATACACACATGAACATATATATTTTAAAATAATATACTTTTATAATAATAAATAATTAACTAATTTGAAATTGTTGAACTTTGTCATGTTTTGCTATTTTCATGCTGCTTATGGGTTCACTTGTGAGAAGACGAAAGCATCCTTCTATATGGTTCCTTCTCTCTTCCCTCTAGGTAGCACTGCCTATGTGAAGAAGAACAGCAAAGGCATCTGGGATGAGGATGAAGTGACCGAGGGGGCGCATTTTGATGACCTCACCGATCCACGGCCACAGCCAGAGTAAGAGAAAATACATGCATGTCAAAATTGAGCTGTAAGTGAGCTGGTCTCTCACTGTGGATGTGTGTTTGTATGTTTAGGTACGAGATTGTGCTAAAACAGTCTGTTGGGACTGAAGATTTGTTTCTTGGCTTGAGCAGAAAGGACCCCTCATCCATGTGTTGTGACAGCATGCTGGTACTCCTCAATCCTCTTAAACATAAATATGAAATTCACAAATCTTAAAGGGATAGTTCACTTTGAAATAAATTTTTGATATGTTTTGGCTTACCTCAAGTGCGTCCAAGATGTAGGTGTCTTTGTTTCCACAGTTTCAATTTTGATATTTTTAGGTCAAACCGTTCTTGTCTGTCAGTCATATAATGGAGGTTTATGGGGTCCACCTCAAAGGGCATGCACAGATAAGTCCAAATTAAACATGATTTTTTTTTTTTTTTTTTTTTTCCTTTTTTCTCGTTGAAATCTTTTTTTTTTTTTTTTTTTTTTTTATCTACAATTTAATTTTTTTTATTTTTTATTTTTTTTTATTGCAGGTTAACAAAACAGTAACACATACCAGGTAAGATTCAGTGAGACAATACAAACATCTACAATACAGAAGTAGGAAAGGGGAAACAAAAAACAAAAAACAACAACAGAGAACAGAAAAACTCACAACAGCCCCACACAGTTATCGACAAAGTGGTATATGTAGGCACACGAGATCCTTTCTGTGATGCAATTCGGTAGTATCTGAATAGTTGTAGAGGATATGATAGAGACTTTGACAAACAAAAAGAAATATATATATATATATATATATATATATATATATATATATATATGTATCTGTATTAGTGGTGGCAGTATCAATGATAGTATTTATAATGATAATATTCATGACAATAATAGTAATATAGGCTATAGCAATCTACGACAGTAGTGACAATAGCACTATGACAATAAGAATACATTTAATTTCATTGCACATCTGCTCTAAACTCTGGGTCAGAGGGCAAATTAAACATGATTTAATGACTCATACATTGATGGCCTAAGACACGAAACGTATTTATGTCGTTTTTACCTTGGTCTGCGCAAGCGCCGCAAGTGATCTCTTGTGCGGTTGCGAAAAAATTCAACATTGTCTGTTGATATATCGAAATCATCTTCCATTGCGATCTCCTGTATATCTAAATATGTTTAGATCTTCACAGTGAAGGGTTACACTTCTGAAATCTCTGTGTAAACAATGAATGACGTACACGCGCAAAAGATCACTTCCGGCGCTTCCTCAGATCACTTGGACATTGTGTCTTAGGCCATCAATGTGTACTTACATCTACGAGTCATTAAATCATGTTTAATTTGGACTTCTCTGTGCATGCTCTTTGAGGAGGAGACCATATACCTCCATTATATGACTGACAGACAAGAACGGTTTGACCTAAAAATATCAAAATTGAAAATACTGTGGAAACAAAGACACCTACATCTTGGATGTCCTTGGGGTAAGCTAAAACATACCAAAAATTAATTTCAAAGTAAACTATCCCTTTAACAGCGTATTTACTGGGGTCATTAAATACATGATAAAGGGATAGTTAACCCAACAATTTAAATTCTGTCGATAATTACTTTGTTCATCTTCGGAACTTAAATGAAGATCTTTTGGTGAAATCGGAGAGCTTTCAGTTCCTCCATAAACCGTTATGCAACTGCACTTTTAACTTTTAACTATATTTTAACTTCAAAAAGTTCATAAAGAGATCCATTATCCAAAATAATTCGTAAAAATTGAGTGGTTTAGACCACATTTTTCAGAAGAGACAATCTCTTTAAATGACAAACAGACTGAATCTACGTAGGCCTTTATTCACGTATAAACATTGATCAAACTCGCACATCAGTTGTGATAAACAGAAGCTCTAGCATGTACGCTTGACGTGTGAGAACCAATGAGGTTCATTCTTGTGTTACGCTGCACATTTGAGCTTCCGCAAGAACTAATGAGGTTCATTCTCGTGTTACTCGGCACGTCTGCAAATTACCATTGCTGTTTAGAAATATTGAACAAAACATTGCTATAAGTTCCACACTTTTTAATCTCATTTAAAGTTTCAAAGACCAAAAGCTTAAAATTCAGTAGTTTGATTTACCATAAAGAAAAAAGACTGGGGTTTGAAACATCCTTTCTCCTCCCTGTAAGATAGAGTTGGCTTTGATGGTGCATTAAAAGTAGATGGCAAAGGCTGATTGGACATTGGAGTGAAAACATTTGTCAGTCCTCAAATAACTGAGCTGTTTCTCTTTATTTAGAAAATTGTATTATCAATGTAATCTCACAAAATGTCTCTCTCTCTCTATCATGCAAGGTGAGAGTTAAACTGCCAGATACAAAAGCGTCTGATTTGGTGCTGGATGTGAGGGAGACGTTTCTTGACCTCAGAACTCCAAAGTAGTGAGTAAACTATGAACTAAAATATTTTACTTTTTCCATCAACTGTAGTACTCATTCGATATATGTGCAAATCCCTTGTTTCAGTAAATTGGGCCTTCACCTGCCTCACCCAGTCCACAAACATGAGGGGAATGCCAGATTCATCATGGAAAGGGAAGAACTGGAGATCACACTGCCCATGAACAGACCAATGGACTGCATCAACCTGACCTGAGAGAGACAGAGAGAGTAACTGAACCACTTCGGCAGTGTTGACAACATACAGACACCATTCTACAGCCTTTCATTGACAGTCTTGGATCCAAACCGGAAACATAACCTATGAATATGTCCCATTAATCCAATTCTCTTCGGTCAATGGCTTCCCATAACCCAATTCACTTATCAGCAGGTTTATAGCTTTAGAACAAGGAAATAAACATTCTGTTTAAAAATTTCCAAACCTTAGATAAAGTGGAAAGGAGCAGGTGTCTGTTTAAGAAGTCCCTTTTTATGATCATAAATATCAAAATTTCTTAATTTGAAATAATATTTTGTTCAAATAAATTGTATGAATTATACATGAAAGCAGCGCTGACTAAATAATAAGAGGTGTCTCCTAAAAATCTCAACTAATGTCCTTACAGGTGTAAGAAAAAATTAAGTGGACGTTGAAGATCTCAAAAATGAAGTTTACAGTATAGCAGTGGCGAGGCACACGAAGTACCTGGGTTCACCGGCGTCTGAATGAACCCCGAAATAATCTCAGCTCAAATATTTTATACCGTATTCCGTTCGTCTTCCCCCTCAGCATGTAATTGAAGTACAGGAGTCAGCCCATTTCCCCAATCCTAATCTAATCAGCATAACAGTCTCATTCACACCTTGATCATAATCCAATCAGCCAAACTGATTCATTTAACTTAAAATAGAGAGAACAGGACTGGCAGACCTCTCGTGCTTAACAGGTGACATCATCATCATCACAACTCCAAAGTGTAAAACACAATGTACATCACTTTAATGTAGAACGGTCAAATGTTAAGGTGATAACATTTATTTGAATTCCCTGTAATCAAGATGGTTCTTGATTGCCTGCTGTCACTCCCATGCTATAGGTGATATTACTGAGATTGGAATGATTTGTCTCTTTGATAAATAAGCTCTTTTAGTGAAGGAACATTTTCTTATATATATTGGAGTGGAAGTTAGATCAGAGCAGACTATAATTTCTTACACAGGTATATATGCAGTACTGCACACCTGCTTTATTCGATCATATTCTTGTAAAACTACTCAGCCTAATATATATATATATATATATATATATATATATATATATATATATATATATATATATATATGATTGCTTTCCTATTTATTTTATTTATTTATCTTCATTTTTGCATGCATGCATTTTTGAGAAGACACCTCTCTTGTGTAATCTAGTGATCCTTGAAATGGTTGTAAGTGACAGGAGTAACAGCATGTCGCCCGCGATTGCTCAGGGGTATCATGCAATACACCCCCCGAGCGCACGGATGCGCACAAGCGTTGCCACAGCAGCGGACGTACCCGTGTGACGCAGGCGGGCTCCGTCCACACACACACTCTCCGGTAGCACAACAATACAAGCTTTCGCCGCTCCCCCTCTTTACGCCTCGCTCTCGGTATGGCGGACGGCGAGCGGTCCCCGTTGCTCTCGGATCTCGGTGATGGAGCTCTCGGCAGTGGGAACGGCGGGGTGTCTCCCGGAGCAGCTCCACATGGTGCTCCGAACAAACCGCAGAGTGAGTAGCGAGCGCGGCGCGTTTCTGCGCTGTCACGGGCCCGCGCGTACACACACACACACACACACACATGTGCATTTACTACGATTTAGGTTAGGTGCAGGTTATGTGTTGTTATTCTTGTCTTTGTACGTTGGTGGCATGGAGGCAGTACCCGAACGGATGATTTTCTGGCGGATCACAGTGGAGAGGTGAATTGTGTGCGCGTAACATACGTGCTCGCGCGCGGATAACGTTACTATTGCTGATACATGCTGCTGCTTAGCATATAATGCAGTTGCAACTGATACACCTGCGTTGGGTGGATGGTATTATTTTGTCAAACAAATCTATGTTGAATTGATCCTTGCACACTTTTGGCGTCCATCGCGGAGGCTGATAAGCCTCTAATGAATGAACATTAGCCTACTGTTGGCTTGTTCGGGTCTGTTTACTGTTCTGGTATTGGCTTTTCCGAGAAGAAATATAATAAGATAATATTGTCTAAAACTAGACAAATGCCTGGGGACGGCTGTACAAAGATTATCATTATCCACATTTACCGGCCAGTCGGCGTCTCTACATTATACATTTACAGTAATCTGTTATCCGCGAACTCCAGCTACACCCAAACACACATGATTGGCATAACTTTGGGCCATTCAGAAAGCCTGAAAATATTAGCTGAGGAGACCCAAACCAATCATTGCACAGAGTGGGCGGTACCAATAGAAAGTTACTTAAGGATGATGATGATGATGATGGTGGTGTGTTGATATGGTGATACTGGAAACAATAAAAATTGTCAAAAAAACTGGAATTGTTCTAATGAAAACAATACATATTTTATCACAAACGGTTGTTTCACTATATAACTTTTGGCCATATAGGCAGATGACTTTTGATTTTGGGAGTATTTCAAAGATTAAGAGCTCCTAAATATGCTCATAAATGGGTTTTCACCACTTTTCATTGTATTTCTGAGTTGTTGTTGTTGTTTTTTAGATTTATCCCTCACAAGGATAGGCAAATATGTAGGCTACAAGTTAGTAATGAGCCACATTCCAGCAGTCTCTTTATACAAAGCTCCTTTCAGCAGATCTCGAGGCCAAATCTGATTTTCTTGTTAATCCTTATGGCTTGGGCGACAAATAACTGTTTCACTTTCCCAAAGCGGAAGTTTCAGTGTTTGGTTTAAACTTTGTGAGGTAAATGAAACTTTAGTCTTTTACTTAATTTCATGAGGCAATATTTTCAGTATCTACATTGAACTAATAACACTGTATGAATGAAACATTTCAAACATTAAATCTCAATGAAACTGAAGTAGTGACAGATATTTTCTTCCGTATTGTGACACATTCAAGTCTAATGAATGTGCAGGCTGGAATGACAATCTCTCCCTTGTTAGGTTTTCCTCCGTTTCCGAGCTCGACTCAGCCACCCATGTTGTTGGGCGAGAACCCTCCACCGTATTCCCCCTTGACGTCTCCAGAAAGTGGCAGTGCCCCAGTCATCAGCTGTAGGGTGTGCCAGTCGCTCATCAGCGTTGAGGGCAAAATCCACCAACATGTGGTCAAGTGTGGAGTCTGCAATGAAGCTACTGTGAGTTGGGATAGAGCACTTTCACACTTAAAACATGCTTTAAAATTGATTTATTAGGCATAAATATCATCAACTTTTTGCACAATTCTGAGGTTTTGCCTCAAAATGTGTTTATTGGTTGTTTACATCCTACAGTTATTGAGTCAATTCAAAATTCCGTTATTGTCATGACTGTAAACAATACAGTTTTGTTAGAGCCAATACTATGTTCAGATCGAGTAGTTGATTAATAGACTAATGTGATAGGTCTGATGGTTTTGGGGCTTCTGTCAGTAAATATTGATACACTACCATTCAAAAGTTTGGGGTTAGTAAGATTTAGGATTTTTTTTTTAATGTTTTTAAATCTCTTCTGCTCACCTAGGCTACATTTATTTGATCAAAATACAGAAAACACTATAATGTGAAATATTATTACAATTCAAAATAACTGTTTTCTATTTTAGGATTATTTGATGAATATAAAGAACAGCATTTATTTGAAATGTATTTTATTTTTTGTAAAAATGTAAAAGTCTTTATCACTTTTGATCAATTTTATGTGGATTTTCTGAATAAAAGTATACATTTCTTAAAATCTTACTGACCCGAAACTTACACACGGCAGTTCATATGCAATGAATTATTCAGCATTACATGTAATGAATTTTAAAAATATGTTCTATTGACAGCCCCAAAACTTAAAGGTGCGCTATCTAATGTTTTTGTTTAAAATTTGAATGAGCGAGTACATCATTAATCCACCTTCCAAATCATGTATTTGTCTCATCCTCCTGATTCACTACGGTACACCTATAATAAGTGTTTATATTTGGACTGTTTTAGTCCGAGCGGCTGCGGAGTAACCCAGTATTATGCTTGACTCATATACATAAACCGAGAGAAGTAGCTCCGGCTTCAGTTTTTGCCTCCAAGACGCATAGAGTTTTGTTTGTTAAAGGCAGGGTTGGTGGTTTGTTCCAGAAACAATATTTTAAGTAGTCTAAATTTATTTATATGCATCATCTGTGGAAGGCGTAGCGCCATAAAAATGTTCATCCAATCATTAATTTCGGACCACTTGCAATGATATGATGTCCTACCTGCCTATCACACACAGACATCACGTATCTTAGGCAGAAGTGAACAGCACCGAAACAGCAGCCACATTTTCAGTTCCTCCTGAACCAAAACAACAACCTTATGCTATGTTCACGCCATAGCTACTGTCATTTAGAACAGATGGAAACCTGTGATGTTATAAACTAGATTGGCTTGTGACTTGAATTTATGCGTTTCAATGGTTACACTATCAACGCCAGGTGTTACACATAAGAGCTCTGTAATTTGTTTACGTTTGTGCTTTGAGATTTGAGGTAGTTTATTGCCGTCTCTCATGAAGCTTTTGTTTGCTCCCTGCTGTACGCGCTCGTGTTCTGGAGGATCTTATGCTTTCACCGCTATTGGTAGCCGCTCCGAAAATTGCTTAAAGTGTACCTTTAAAAAGCATGTGACCATCTTTGGGTAACCAAAACTAATTCTCTTTTCTGTCGCTCTCTTCCTTTCTATTCTTTTCATTATCCTTCATTCTCTCCAGCCCATAAAGAATGCCCCTGCAGGGAAGAAATATGTGCGGTGTCCTTGTAACTGTCTTCTCATCTGCAAGGTCACATCCCAAAGGATCGCCTGCCCTCGGCCTTATTGGTAAGGAGACAAAGTTAAATTTAAAACAAGTGAAACGTTTGACACTAATAAACTTCTTGCCTCGATCTGGATTGTGTATGTGGAGAAAAATGAAATGTTTTTGTCTCCTTGTCTGGGACTAGTAAGAGGATCATAAATTTGGGGCCAGTCCATCCAGGCCCAGCCAGTCCAGAACCACAACCTGCTGGAGCTAGAGTTTCCTGCGGACACTGCAGCAACACTTTCCTGGTACATACACACGCACAATACAGCAACATCTTACGGACGCACAGTGTATCATTATCACTGACATCATGACCGAATCACTCGGCTCAGCTTCAGAGTCAAGTTAAAGTGGAAGATCAGATGGCTGTTTATTCGTGTTTTATTTATGCAATTGCCTCACAGTAGCTTCTCAACAACTTTCTCAACATTTCAGTGGACCGAGTTTACTGACAGGACACTGGCTCGATGCCCCCATTGCAGAAAAGTGTGAGTATTTCCCAGGCGACATTCACAAAACAATTTGCACATGCCAAATAAATCTGTTCTTATCATAAATAAAGTCTGTCTGTCCCAGTACACAGCTTTAGCTTCTGAAAAGCATTACTGCCATTAACTGGCTGTCATTTTTTCAAATGTCCCATAAAATTTTAACATCCTGTCTTTAGACAACTATAAGTAAGCTATTTATTGTCTGTAGATTTATTAAAACAGTACTGTTTGTTCGAGCACACAGAAACAACAACATTTGCTTAGCCAATGGTATGAGTTTGGGGTGGGACTAACTGTTTGTCTTGAATAATGACAGATGTTTAGGAAAACTGTTCTGTTAGAAGCATTATTTTGGGAATTCGGTGTACTGATAAATTATACACTTTGCCTTTTCATAGTTTTGCATGTTCCATTCCATTACCCCTTGATGTTCTGCTCATTGGTCTCTTCCTCATCTTCATCAGATCTTCGATTGGCCAGCGATATCCGAGGAGGCGGAGTCTGTGGTGTTACCTGCTGTGCTTGCTATTTAGCATCTCAGCTGCTGGTCTGATTGTGAGTGTGCTTTGTGATGTAATTAATTATGGACCATATTTTGTATTTTCTTTTTCAGAGTGTCTATTTAAACTTAAAGGCAAACTTAAACTTAAAGGTAAACTTAAAACTTAAAAAAAAATTGCTGCTAATTTACTCACCCCCATGTCATCCAAGTTGTCCATGTCATTCTTTCTTCAGTTGAAAAGAAATTAAGGTTTTTTATGAAAACATTCCAGGATTTTTCTCCATATAATGGACTTCATTGGGAACCAAACGGTTCAAGGTCCAAAAGACTGTTTCAGTGCAAACTGCAAACTGTTCAAAGGGCTTTAAACGATTCCAGACGATGAATAAGGGTCTTATCAAGCGAAAAGTTCGCTCATTTAACAAAATAAATAAAAAAGTTGAAGTTTTATAAGCTCAAATGCTCGCCTTGCTCTGTTCTGTGACGCACATCAAAATGAACAAATCTTTTTCCAAGTCAATTCGTTCATTTAGTTCGTTTGAATGAACTAAATGACTCAGAAAAGGATTTGTACGTTTTTTTGAACGAGTTCGAACAGGAGAGTCACAAACGTGCATCACAGGACAGAGCAAGGCAAGCATTTGAGCTTATAAAACTTAAACTTTGTTATTTATTTATTAAATGAGCGATAGTTTCGCTTAATAAGACCCTTATTCATCGTCTGGAATCGTTTAAAGCCCTTTGAACAGTTTTCAGTTTGTACTGAAAGTGTCTTTTGGACCTTGAACCGTTTGGTTACCAGTAAAGTGCATTATATGGAGAAAAATCCTGGAATGTTTTCATCAAAAACCTTAATTTCTTTTCGACTGAAGACAGAATGACATGGACATCTTGGATGACATGGGGGTGAGTAAATTATCAACAAAAGTTTTTTCAAAAGTGAACTACTCCTTTAAGTTTAAATAGCCTGCCGACTGGTTAATTATCATATCACTCATTGTGAACTATTTCTTTAATGTATTACTATTTCCAAGCCGAGTCACACATTTATGAATTAGCATCAGTTGTCATATTAAATATAAATATAAGTTAAAATTGGTAACATTAAAAGTACAAAAACTCATTTGTTAACATTCATGTATTATTAACGAATATGAACTGAGCAATGTATAGTTTGCAATGTTTAATAATCTTTGTAAATGTTAGTTAATACATATACTTGTTAATGTTCCATTCACTTATGTTAACAAACACAACTTTTAATCCTCAAAAATATATTAGTAAATGTTGACATTTAGTCTAATAAATGCTGAAAACAGTGTTCGTTCATGATCATATAAAGTGTAACTTTTTTATGCTCACCAAGGCTGCATTTATTTGACAAAAAAAATACAGTAATATTGTGAAATATGATTAAAATTTAAAATAAAATTCTATTTTAGTTAAACCTAGTTTCCTGTGATGGCAAAGCTGAATTTTCGGCATCATTACTCCCGTATTCAGTTTCACATGATCCTTCAGAAATCATTCAAATATTCTGATTTGCAAGAAACCCTACTTAATATCATCAATGTTGAAACCAGTTTGACTGCTTCATAACTTTGTGGTAACTCGCAAAGTTCAAAATTACAGGATTTACTTGAAATTGAAATCATAGTGAATAAAGGTATTTATTAAAAAAAAAAAAAAAACTTTTGAACAACAGTGTATGTAAATCAACATGTTACATTTTGAGTCTTATTGTAAAGTGTTAGCAATTGTGAGACTTGTCAAAATAACATCAAACTGCATCACCGTACTCTGTAATTGTTTATGTTTGTCTCCAGGCAGGGACGTGGTCCCAGGCGCGTGTATATGGGGGTATTTATGCGTCCTGGGCAGCGGCGTTGTTGCTGGTGGTGTTGACGCTGGCCAGAGCACTTTACTGGAGCTGCATGAGGGTCAGCCAACCTCTCCACAACCTCACATAGAGAGAGAGAAAGACAGCAAGAGAGGAGGCTGCGATTTAAGGGTGGTGGGAAAAAATAAAGTCCACAGGAAAAGAGCTAGAGAGAATCATGGTTAACTCTAAAAGCTTGAATGTGATGGCTGTAATGAAGGGTCAAAGTAAAATCCAGGCTTGAGAAACACATATGCTATGGCAAAGAAGATTAGTGTTTTAAAGTAATTTTTATTCGGAAGCTTTCTCTGGATGTGTTTTCATCCGTGAATATGAACGGACTTGTTATGATTCCAAATGCTCCTTCAGTTTTAACCCATTACACTCACGTAAAGAATATGTTACACACTCTGAAACACACACACAATTCTCTATGTACATCTTAAATTAACTACGCTACAATACACAAACTACACCAATTCAAACAATTATCTGTCTCTAGTGTCCAAATAAGCTCTGAAGCCTTATAAAGAGAGGAAGTACAGGTTCATCTCCACTAGATGGTGTTCCAAAACCACATAAACACTGGTGTTTTGTCACATTGCCTAAATCTCTGTTCAAATACAATCATTTGGGTGACACGATTAACAAATGCGCAGAACATTTCTGTAACTGATTTTTCATTTACACTTAAAGTGTAAATGCGTTCAAACACATCTCTTTATCTTTAGTTGTGAATGTTAAAAACAGTATTTTTTATAATTGTGAATTTTGTTTGTAAATATTTGTTGTTTATTTCATGAATGAGCAGTTGCACTGTAGCTCTAACACGCTGTGATTCCTTTATGTTTTTATTTAATTTGCAAAATCACTACTGAGGGAAAAAAAATCACTGGAACAAATAATGAGATAACCGATGTACAGCCACACACACCTTTGGGAAGCAGAAAAAAAAAATCATATCTTCTGTTGAAGGTCAGCTGTGCTTCATGGAGTTTGCTATCAAAAGGGTCATTCACCTTTCTTCTCATGTTCATGTGAAGTTAATCGTCATGTTCAGGTACTGTAAGTTTGATTATGTTTGAACCATGATTAAATGATACTAATGAGATTAATCAGCCACTAGATTTGGATTCTAGACCGCCAGATCTTTTTTTCCCTCTTTGTCATAATTCAGAGTCTGGGTAAGAACACAATTGAGATGTTCAGAGCATTGAATTCTTGTTGCTGGTCACCAATGTTCTTGCATTATATTCCTTATAAATATACTAAAGTACATCAAAATATGGTCCTCACTGCAGATGTGGAATTCAGATTCTGTATTCTGTCCATGAGAGAAAAATGTGAGGTCTGTACATCTGGAATCCCAAACAAGAGGTCAGGATGTTATTTATAAAGAGCAGAAGGCCAATGATGGAGGTCTCCTCTGAATTTGTTTACACATGAGATTAAGATTACACATGATTAAAAAGATGATGAAGGTATAAAACGGTGAATACACTTGGGTCCTGTCTCATTTTTATAAAGGTCTGTGTGTGCTTCACTTGCAGCAATTGTTTTGGCACTTTTTCTCTCAATGTCTTTGGCTATTTGTCTCTTGTTTCGGGCGGATATATTATTTTCCTCGACATAGACTGATAGAGGCATGGGAAACATACAGAAACCTTTTAGAAACCACAACTCCCCTGAGCTGGGCAGAGAGAGAGATTTGTCAGCATTAATGGAAGAGAAAGAGCAGAGATCTGGGGACACGCACAGATAGAGAGAGGTTTCAGTCTTCTGGAGGCGATTGACCACAAAAAAGTCTGCAAGCAGAGACCAGAGAATGAGACCTCTGTGGAACGGATCTGATTCATAATACACACACGCACACACAGTCTGTCCCATCTCTCACTCTCAAATCTAATACACTTTTTATTGCCATGACAAAGAGAGAGAGAAAAAACTTTTCACATTGGCAAATAGTGTGCAGCTCAGGTGTGTATTTTTATTTAATTAGCTGTTTTATATTCTTATTTATTTGTTAAAATATTACCTGTTGACATCATTTGGGCTACTTTTTCACTTTATAATGGGACCACGTTTTTCATATAACTTCATTATTTCATTATAAAAATGATCCAAATACATTTTAACAAATTAATAAATACCTCAAATTATTCCGCAGAGCTATCCGAGTAAACAGCAACTGACAAATATTCTCAAAATATATTGAGGAATTAACATTCATTAAAAAAGAAAGTAATTAGGATGTGCTTGTGTAGTTAGTATAGCAATTACTAGGCTATACCTTTTGTTTAATTACATAGAACTAACCTAGTCCTAACCGTATAGTAAGTTCATGTAGTTAATTAATTAATTGTTATGTATTAAAGGGGTGATGAACCGAGAAATCAAATTTTCCTTGAGCCTTTGACATCTAAGAGGTCATCATATTATAAGAATATCCTGTAAGTTTCAGAACTGAAAACGTCCTTGTTAGTCCAATAAAAGCTTTTATTGACACCAGCCTCAGTAAACGACTCGTTTTTCAAAGTGGGAAACTATGACGTCAAAGAGGATAAAACCCCACTCCTGCGGGAGAAGATCAATGCCTACTTAGCCCCGCCCACCGATTCGCGCATTACACGCATAGCTAAATAACATAGATGCCTACCTTTGATCACAAACCAGGTCAAGAGTAAAACTCTTAATAATATTGAAAACTGTTCTCCACTCACAGCAGTGGGCGTTTACTTCCAAGTCTTCAATGCAGACGCCCAGAGGGTTTTTGAGCTGAGTTCAAAACTAGGGTAAAAAATGCCAATTACTTTTTAATTTTGAGGTTTTTGAATGTAAAAACCAAACAAACGTCATAAGTTGACCTCAGACAACAATATAACAAAATTTAGCCAGCCAGTTAAAAAAAAGTCATCATAGCATACATTCAATTAACGGTTACTTGTATAGCGCTTTTCACAATACGCATCATTTCAAAGCAGCTTTACAGAAAGTGCATGAGTCTTATTACACTAGAGTGTTCTGTTATCAGAGATAACTGTATTTCAGAAATGTAGCCTACATACAAAGTCACAGTTGAAATGTAATAATTTAAAGCAGAAACAATGAGCTGAACAAAATAAAGTAAAACTTTTTAATAGCGTCAGCCAAATGAATAAATGTAAATAAAGCTGAACAAGCAAATATGTGTTCAGTGCAGAAACTCTGCCTCTCTTTCTCTGTTGTGTCTCAGGGGAGAGAGTAACTTCCCAATGGAATCAATCCGATCTGAGATTACTGAGTTTGCACAAACACACCAGAGCCTTTTATCCTCCTAACGTATAACAGGATTCATCCTTAAAGATGAGCCCTGTGACCTTATACACAAACACACACAGTCTCTCTATGTCACGCCTGTTAAGCACATACACTCACACTATCAGAGCTGCAAATCTCCTCCTCTCTGCTCTCAGCGTGAACACGAATAAGCAGCAGTAAGAAGGATAGAGAGGGAGATCTGGGAAGAAAGGATGAGAAGGGAGAGGAGATGAGAATGAAAGGATAAGTTGAACTGATGAGGAAGGGGTATAAAGAGCTTTGCCACTGTCCACTTTAAAACAAACATTTCATTTAGACCATCTAATCCATACACACACACACACACACACACACGCACGCACGCACACACACACACACACACACACACACACACGCACGCACGCACGCACGCACGCACGCACGCACGCACGCACGCACACACACACACACACACACACACACACACACACACACACACACACACACACACACACACACACACACACACACACACACACACACACACACACACACACACACACACACACACACACACACACACACACACACACACACACACATGTTGCTCCCATGTTTTATGGGGATATTCCATAGAGGTAATGGTTTTTATACTGTACAAACTGTATATTATGTCCCCTGATACTAACCCTACTGCTAGAACCATACCCATCACATAAAACTTTCTGCTATTTTTGATTTTCAAAAGAATTCAAAAGATTCCTCATGGGTATAAAAAGTCTGTTTGGAATGTCTGTATACATTATGCTACATATAGGGATGTTAATAGATATCAGACAATAGAGTAAATAAAAAACAGTATTTATATTTTAACTTTATATTGTAGAATTATAGCTGGAACCATTGCTGCCAGTATAGTTTGTGAAATTACTTCACAGCCTTAAAATTAAAAACGAATTAAAAATTACGGTAAAGGGCTGGAACCACAGCTGCAAGTTCTTTACTGTAAAATTACTGCATTGTTGAAACTGTAAAATTACGGTAAAGGGCTGGAACCACAGCTGCCAGTTCTTTACTGTAAAATTACTGCATTGTTGAAACTGTAAAATTACGGTAAAGGGCTGGAACCACAGCTGCAAGTACTTTACTGTAAAATTGCAGCATTGTTGAAACTGTAAAATTACGGTAAAGGGCTGGAACCACAGCTGCAAGTACTTTACTGTAAAATTACGGTAAAGGGTTGGAACCACATAGCTGCCAGTTCTTTACTGTAAATATACAGGTGAATTTTTTTTTACAGTGATATCAAAAAATGTCCCCAAGGTCAAAATGTACATGGTATTGCTATATTTGTGGGGACATTTGGTCCCCATAATGTAGGGACCACACACGCACAGTTCAGATGTGAGGAATCATCAGATGTTGATTAATATGATGTATGGTGCAAAGAAATAGTGCATTCACTTTGTGAATTTGTGTATATAAATGTATTGCTATAAATGTATTGCGTGTAACCAAAATGTTAGAGGTCTGACTGTCTGACCTACAGTCCTACTGCTAAAAGCATAACGTTCAACTCAATTAACAGCCTGAATTATTGATGTCTGTCTGGACCAGAATTTGTGTGTACACTGGAATTAAAAGCCTCCGGTGTCACCTGTCACACAGCAGTATGTGTGTGTGTGTGTGTGTGCAGGCAAAGAGAGAGATAAAATCTCTTTCATCTGTTGATTTACAGTACAGATTTTCACCTTCAGACAATATGCTCCTTTAGTTTAAGATTCATGATTTGACATATTCAGAGACACATAAGGACAATTTGCATAAGTAATGATTTTAAGATTTTGTTTCGATTAAAGAAACATTTAGGGACTTTCCAAAGCTATATATGTTATGTTGTATTTGTATTAATTTATTCATTTTATTAATTAATTTCTTTATTATTTGATACTACTATTATTTTTTGTGAACGTTTAATTTAACAATACAAAGTAATACAAAAATAATAAATTTATTTTAATAATATTTTTACATGCATCTATTTTTATATTGGTTATAATGTAGCCCATGGAAAAATATATTTTAAAACAAGTCCCCATTAAGTCACGAAAATGTTATTTCTGAATGCTCTCTGAATGTTCAAAGCTTCCAGTTTGTAAATGTTTTAAAATAAATAAAAATAAATCAATAAATTATGTGAACGTTAAGGGAACATTGTTTTATCATTTTGCAAACATTGTGGGAATGTTACTTTTAAATGTCACTAAACATTCTAAAACAAGTAATTTAGTCACAGTAAAAAAATATTTTCAAGATTTGTTATCACAACATTTTTTCTTTTGTTAAATCAACAAATTATTTATTTAGTCTAAATGTTATCTCTCTCTCTCTCTCTCTTTGTGTGTTAAACCAGGCAAATCCACATCCAATACAAAACATCCTCCTAAAAACGGAAAGCTTGGGTATCACCTATGTCAGTTGGGATTGGTGGAGAGAGAGAGAGAGAGAGAGAGAGAGAGAGAGAGAGAGAGAGAGAGAGAGAGAGAGAGAGAGAGAGAGAGAGAGAGAGAGAGAGAGAGAGAGAGAGAGAGAGAGAGAGATCAGGGATGAAGTTAATAGTTGTACAGTAAATAAGAGAGAGGGACAGGGATGAAGATAAATAGTGAGGGAATTGTTACCGGTATCTTTTCTTCATTCCTCCAGAAAAGAGCATCTCCACTGATCAGGTAACAACATCTCTCTTAAAGTCTTATAGAAATTATACTTGTGTTGTTTTATAAATTCAAAAGAGAAAAATTATTCATATTAGGCCTGTAGTAGTTCATTTCACACTTTACTGTTTGAGTTTTAGTGCATTACTTGTTTATTGCGATCATGAATTATGATAGGCCTTTGTTGATGATTTAATACAATTTAAAGTGTTGAACATTTAAGATTTAAATATTTATATATTCTTATTTAGTGATTTTCTATCATGGTTTGGGATTTATAGTATATTATGTTTTAAAGAAAGAACTTTCAATGTTTAAATCAAAATAATTAATCATTTGATTAAAAAAAAGTTTTTTTGTTTTGTTTGAGATTTTGATATCTTAAAACTTCCGACATCATCGGCAGCTTAACAAGTCTATATGTAGCTAAAATAACATTAGATCGAATGACACTGAAAATGATCTGGTCTATAGCCTAATCTATTTTCTGCATTTATTCAAACCCGTGAAAACAGTCCAGCAGTGACATAAAGATCTGAAAGTCTACTTGAAGTAATTGGGATTCCAAACAATCGCTTCTTATTTTTTACTCACTGATTTAATTGAGCTCAGTGAATAAAGTTGATGCTGATTATGAAGATGATGATGAAGATATGAATTTTTTACAGATGGAGTGTAATTGTAATTCCTCTCTGGGTCCTTTTTCCTCGACTTACTGGAGCAGAAGTAAGTGATTGTGTGTGTGTGTGTGTGTGTGTGTGTGTGTGTGTCTGTCAAGCATAGACTGCCTAGTGAAAGGGGAGTCCTTTTTTTTTTTTTTCAAAAGTAGACCAAAAAATCTGATTTTGGTGATTTTTATGCACTATTGTGCTAGATTAGCTTGTCTGCTTAAAGAGCACGCTTTTTGATGCACCGAAAATATTTATTATTGTATTACAGTATTATCAAAGGTGTACCACCTTTTTCAGTCTAAACCATGGTCTTAAAAAAACAGTGTGGACTGAAGTGCACAGTTCCATCATCTGAAATAAGTTTCATGCAGTAATTCACCATATATAGAAATAAATACAAAGAGGAGTAATTCACTAATGAATTTGCCAATGTAACGTTAACGGGGTTTGTTGTTGTGGGAAAAAGGAGGCGGGAACATTTAAACATTTTAATTGTAAAATGAACAAATACAAAACGAAAGTATAAGCCAGCAGCCCCTCATTGACGACTGCTGTAACGTTACACACAACAGAAACAAAACACATCATAAAATCAGGCCTGTTTCTCTCTCGATCTGCCATCGTCGCTCCTCATTTTATGCTGTCGCTCCTCCGCGAGTGACACGTGACCGGCGCGCGCCTCACAGGTGACTTTTCATTATCACTCACGCCACCGGCCTCGCGCCGTCCTCTTACATCCCTCGCCCTCGATCGTCCTGCTCGCCACAGCCAACTAACTAGAAATTTTGTGTGAAATAAATTTCAAACTCTGCTGATAGTTAACGTTAGCCTTGTAGACGGAAGTGTGAATTCTCTGATGTGTACGCAGTTCCGGATTAGTGGATGTGGCTTGCTTGCGGAGCTGTGCAATGTGGTGCATTGTGGGAGTTGTTGTCTTACATACAATGCACCCCTCGGGTATTTTCTGTCTTTTCTCGGCCAAGAGGTCACCAAATTCAAAAATTCTTTTAGATTTCGACTACATATATGATCCACATTCAATAAAGATTAATGTTGAAATGGGTGAAATGCTCCTTTAAATGTGAACAGATACGATAAATCTGAATTGTTTATTATGGCAGCTGTACGGGGAAAAGAGAGGCCTATTAGTGAGATGCAATCATAATTGGATTGTAAACTTGGTGTTTCATGCAGTAAATTGTACAAACTGAATTGTTTCTAATTACTCTTTCTTTCTTGCAAGCATAACTTTTCATTCTTCTTTTCCTCAGCAGTGCTTTTCCCTGATTGGGCGTATAAACCAGCGTGCTCTCCAGGCTCGCGGCAGGTGCAGTTGTGGCACTTCCTGTTGGAGCTGTTGGGGCGTGGCGAAGGCGGAGCTATCACGTGGGGCAGCGAATGGGGAGAGTTTGTAATCAGAGACCCAGAGAGATTGGCTAAACTGTGGGGGGAGAGGAAGGGCAAGCCACACATGAATTATGACAAACTCAGCAGAGCTTTAAGGTACATGACTCCAATCCATATACACATTCATACATACAATGGATAAATTATAACATATATGAAGAGTTCAGATGCAAAAGCCTCTAAATGCCATTTGAAATTTTCTTCTTTAATGATGATTTTTATCAAACTTGTATATTTAAGTTCAGTAATTTCACTTAAATAACAATTAATAGGTATCATTGCCATTTAAGTGAAATCACTGAACTTAAATATACAAGCTTGATAAAAATGATCATTCTAGAAGAAAATTTCAAATGGCGCTTTTGCATCTGAACTCTTCATATCCAACCTCAAATATATATAGTCCTATTAAGTAGGCTATATGTTAGTATGATAGCTATATTTACAACTAGGCTATATTATTTTTTCATAAAAAATGATTTCTTAACATTTTATGAAGAGAAATCCATTTTGTGACAATTCTGTTTTTCCCCCTTCAAATCAGGTATTATTATAATAAGCGAATTTTGCACAAGACCAAAGGGAAACGTTTCACCTACAAGTTTAATTTCAGCAAACTAGTCTTAGTGAATTACCCAAGTTTTCCAACCTATCCACAGGTGCGTGAGTGTTTTTATGGGTTTTGTTGCATATAGTGACAAATTTGACTTATGAATATTATAACTGCTATTTTTCATCATTCGTTTTCAGAATACAGCATCTGTACCTTTCTCTGCCTTTCCTTCTCATCTTTCCTTCTACAACCCTTCTATTGACAGGGGTAAGAGTGTTATTTTAACAGTCAAATATTGCTTATTTGAGAAGTCTTCACTATTTTAAGCAAATAGCAATGTATATTTGATTTAGTTTTAAACATTGACATTTTTTTCTCTGTGTGCATGTTTGTTTGTGGACAGCTGTGCAGTCGATTTCTCATCCCCTCCTGCTGCCATACAGCTTCCCCAAACCCCTCCCCTTTCCCCAGGCACATCCAATCCAAAGGCAATTTCCCCTCTTTTCTGGACCGCCTTCTTCAGTGACTAACCTATCGGAGCTCTCCTGCCAATCACCGGTCAACTCCAAACTGCAGTTCACCCAAACTTTAAACTGGCCAGTCAAAAGCAGCACAGAGTGGCCTTTCAACCGAGTCATGGGATTACAAGAGAGGATTAAAAGTGGAGCAGAAGACAAAAAACATAACAATGATGAAGAAAACAAAAGAAAATCCTGAAACTATGCATTAGAGGTTTTACTGGTTTTGTCATACTTATTTTTTTAAGTTTATACATTCTCACTGGATTGGTTTAGAGCAAAGCACTTTATAAATTTGTCAATGTACCTTAATCCTTTCCTCGGGTCATTTTGACCCGCAAATCATTTTAAAATGAGTGTTCTTCAGAGTGGTATAAAGACCTTATTAGTTTTGTCACACTTGAAACTGGAAAACACACACAGAGTTTTTGTGGTTGTAATAATCATTAAAAAAAGTAACTAATCCTTCCCTTGCAGGTCAATTTGATCACTATAGAAATTAATGGGGACAACGTTTTTGTTGTGTCAGAAAAAATAAAAAAAAAATAAAAAGTGCACAACCCAGAACACACACACACAAAATAAAGGCCTTCAAGAATCCCACTCACATAAAAAAAAATAATAAAAATAATCCACAACCCTAGAAATGCCCATTAAAATAATGGTGACAGTTCACTTACTCCCAATCGAGTAGCAATATTTAATAAATGCCATGTTTTTTTTTTTCCACATGAGGTCAGCAGACACCCAATGGTTTTTTTTTTTACTGAATTTTGCACTGCAGTTATTTTGTATTTAAAGAATGCGAAGAACATGCTTATTGTTAATGTCATTGTTGTTAAAATACAGTAATTTAGAGATCAATAAAACAAATCTTAAAGATAAAATGAAATGATGAGCTTTCTGGACAAAAACAATAAAGTGTAATTTTAATGCTTCGAGTAATTTTAACTTGTGAGGGAAGAATGTGTAATTTAGATACGAAGAGAGCAGAACAAGTTAAACAATGCAAGATAATTAAACTATTTGTCAGAATCACATTTATTTCTTCAATATTATTTCTAGGTTTAAGGAAATCCAATGTGCCAACAACTGAAATTTCTTACTATACCCAACAACATTTCAGGGAGCCAGGTTACAGATTGTTTTGTGTTGAATATTTTAACTAATCTGGTGTCAGAGCCCAACCCTCATATGAGTCACATAAGAATTATATATTGGAATATCTGAACCAAATTGTGCATTCTGAAGTTTATTTATTTTGTATCAAAGATTTGACCAAGGCAAACTCTAAATACTCATATTAACACATTGCAAAACTAATTGCACAGCACCTTTCTGCAGTGCATGTAAGAGCTAAAGGGTTCTGCCGGTAGAGAGAGAGAGAGATCACATGGGCTAGACTTTGTGTTCTGAGATCCAGAGAAATTGGCTCAGCTGCATCGAGAGAAGGGCAAGATATAAAAAAACTCAACTGTGATCTGAGGCAGTAATAGTGACAATGAAATATACTGTTACAAACAGCAAATGTTGATATAACACATGTTCCAGAAGATCCTCCTTACATCACTGATACATATGTAGAGACAGAGTACAACTTTCTCTATATGTTAACATTTATAGATACAAATATCTTATGATTTCAGGCCTTGTAGAGTCTTTCACTCCCAGTCTGACAAAGAACAAGGGCTCCTGAATTCCTGTCCAAACTCACGGATCCATTTGTTAGCCACTGAGGAAGAAGAAAAAAAAAAAAACCCACACAATTGTTTGGTTCAAAAACAAAAGGCAAAAGCAAATCAGCCAATTATATTTTAGATTTATCTACAACCTACCCCATTTGTTACCCATCAACACAGGGCATCCAGCGTGCTCCGTATTCCAATTCACTTCACCATTTCTGTGGAGATTGTACCAAAGCACGGCTGAACCCTGCAAGAACAGAGAGAGGATGCTGAAATTATTCCATTTAATTAGTACTTAAATTATCCTTAAAAAAACAAAAAAACAATGAGGGTTTACCTTTTTAGGAGACACTGAAACTCCAACTTTAGGGAAGACAGTGGCGCCCCCTATCTCCACATCACTCAACTACAGGAAAACATTTATGTGGATAGTTACACACATGTAATATTAATAGCTGTAATAGAAAAACTGTTTAATGTCATTAAGGCAAATCGTTTTTCTGACAGCTGCACTTATTCGGTCAACTTACATAAATTAGGAATGTAGCAATCCTGTCATTCTCTATCTCCTGCGAGCAGAGATGGGCACAAATACATAAAGTATACAATTACAAAAATTACTGGAATGCATTTAAAATAGAATACAAAATACTGCAGTGAAAAAAAGCATTTAATTAAAATACAAAAGTAACAAAAGTTTAAAATCATTGAAAGTGAGTAACTGGATTTAGATACAGGTATCAACCATTTAGTGGAGTATTTTTTTTGAAATAGGGCTTATTCACAGTCTTTCATACATTTGGATAGGTGGGCAAATGTATGCATGCAGTGTTTTAGTTTGGCGGCGTCGCCGCTGGGATAGCTTAGCATAATGAATGGAATGCCAGCTAGCATGACGGGAGCTTTTTAAAAAAAAATTATTTTGTTGTCAGGTCAACTTATGACATTCGCTTCGTTTTTAATAATAAAAAAAAACATAAAAATGAATAAGTAATAGGCTATTTTCTATCCTAGTTGAGCCCAGCTCAAAAACGCTGGGTTTATGGGCGTCTCGCACTGAAGACTTGGAAGTAAACACCCACTGCTGTGAGTGAATAACAGTTTTGCATATTATAATGAGTTTCACTCTCGATCCGGTTTGTCATCACGAGGTAGGCCCATGTTATTTAGCTATGCTTGTAAATAAAATTTGATTTCTCAGTTCATCACCCCTTTAAATATGAACACTACAAACAAAAAATAAAAAAACATGCCTGCTCTCTATATCCTCCAGTGTATAGACTCTGGTATCTCAGCCTGTTAACTCTAGAAAGTGAACCGTCGCAGAGTGATTATTTATTTATTATTATCAGCATTTAATTTTCCAGGAGGTTCACGCTGGCATTTTATTTCATTTTCAAATTGAATCATTGCTTCATTTATTTAATTTTTTGTAAATCCAAAACTGCCAAAGCCCATTAGAAATTCCTGAGAACCAATGGCAAATTCTGTGTTGGTTTACAAAATTGATGTGATGTTTGTACGGTGAACTTACTAATGCATCAATATGCTGTTCAAATGCACCACCAACCCCATAATTCTGAACCTGGAAAATGATGGCATCATTTACAAATCACTATTTAAATAGAAACGGTTAACACGTCAATGTTTCACAGGTAAAAATGCATGTTTATCTCCATTTAAGAATGATAAATCAGGTGAATATAAATTAATTATATACTATAATGATCTAATGCATGCTTTCTTACTGTGACGTACAAGCAGTGATTCAGCGGTTTCCATGGAGAGTCCCGTAACATCTGCAATCCTCTGACTGACACCAGCTTCCACAGGGTCATTGCTTAGAAAAACACTGAAAATATAGTGATGACTCTTATGTTCAAGTAACCGTTTTTGTATTAAAAAGCAAATATCATGAAAGACTATGAGAGAATTAAATTTTTTTTGAGAGAATAAAAATACATATTAACCTTTGAGAAACACGTAGTTTTAAGGGTTCTGTGATTCCAGCACGATAAACTTGCGATCTAGAAAGCTGTATAGGAACAAATCGGAAGGTATACATTTACGTATATGGTTTTGGCACACTTGTTTTGCTCTGATTTTGGATGAAGCCTTCCTGTATGCTGGCAGTAATGACTCCAATTTATCTCAAATGTGTTCAGTCAGTGGGATTCAAATCTGGGCTTTCTATAGATCAGCCAATGTCTTCCACAAGGATAAGGATCGAACATATCATTTGTGCAGTATAAACAAATCATGTCTATAGAAAATAACGGAAAACATGGAAATCAAACGTGTGTGCGTGTGTTTGATATTCACTTGAGGTCTGGAGATATTCTTTAGGATCTCCATCTCTCTGTCTGATATGATGTCATGATATCTGATGATGCGAGGCTCGTCCCACTCCACTTCCTCTTTCACTGGTGCGTACATCAGTCTGGGGTTTCCTCCACCTGTGCTGTACCTACAGGACAGCGCCCTCTGCCTCTTGGAGATCTGATTTGATAAAATATAATAAACTTCCCAACACAAAAAGCTTCAGAACTACTATGTAATTTCATGTCAAATGATTTAAATTGTCACTTGCCGTCTCATCAACCTCTCCTCTGCACAGAGCCTCATAGTTACTTGACTCTGTGTTCAGTGGAAATATGTCAGGGTTGCTCTGTAAGTGAAGGAGTCTGTTCAGCTGAACTCTGGCTTCATCATTACTCGGATCTGAGGAAAAGATGTTTAAGACGTGAATCACAACAATTTAGCAATATTGTTTGCCAAACTCAAATATAAAAATATTAAATCAAATGCTATTAAATGCAGGACAGAATGACCTCACCCAGAGTTAGAAGCCGTTGGCTGAAGTAGATTGCCACAGACAGGCTGCCAAAATGATAGACTGAGGAACTAAGGAAACGGAGTAACTCTTCTTCAGTAGTGGTTGAGTTTTCTGTTAATCGGTCCAGACTGTACAGAAACCAGAGGAATGCGTGCTGGAATTTGTCCTCATCATAAGCGACCAACCCAACATTGAAAGCCTCATCTGCATTTAGAGACGTTTCTGTAAAATTAAAAACAATCCATATTGGAAAGTGAAACTCTCAGTGAAATTGCATTGGTGTGCAAAACTGCAGGACGGTTTACCCTTTGTGATGTCTTCTGGGTGGAGTTTGTAGATCTCTTGTAGTCTGATCAGTCCTGAAGCTGCACCATCCAAGTCCTTCCGCTGTGGGATCTTTGAGTCCAACTCATTCTGATACTCTTCACACTGAGTAAGATTCGGCTGAATACGTTTTACAATATACATAAAATCACTTCTCATTCTTCTGAGGAGTCTGTAAGCTGCCACAGGGTCTCTCACAGCTTCTTCAGGGTTCTCAGAGTAAGAGTATGAAAGATGATGATTCAGAAGAACACTGGATGAAGACGGGTTCATCAAAAGTTGTGTTAGATGCATTTATTAACAAAACACTTAATATAAAATCATGTAATTGTTAAAGAACCATTCCACAATTTAATGTTTTTTAATAATGATAAATAAAAAAATAAGTGAATAAAAAAACAGTAATCTTGCGGTTTAATGTTATATTAGGAATAATGAAAGTGTTTTCACCTCTTCGTTGTCTCTACATTCTCAGCATCAACACACTGACTGAACACCTTCAGAAGGTCTTTCGTCTTCCCATAAAGTTGTGCAATTTGATCTATAAAACAATCTGCATTTTATTGTCAAAAGGGATTTTATTCATTTATTAAGTTACATTACAGTTAAAATGAAAAAGGTTATTGGGTAAGAAACCAAAGCGGGAGTTAGTGTACAAATTGGTGTTAAAAACAATTGTTGTTAAAGTGAAATAGTATAATCAGTTGAAATTATGACAAGGAAGGTTACTAGGCCTACAGGTCAAAATTCTGACAAAGCATACAATCACCTTATCATGAAAACCGTATAAAAAAACAGTTGGAGAAATATGGACAAGACACGTAAATCATTAAACGAACATTACGAATAAAAAACAATATATTATAATACAATGATTTGATCTTGAACAGAAATAACCTGTTGATGAGAAGATCTCATGTCCAGCATTAGCACAGACAATCCAAAAACACACCATAAACATCGACAGTTCCCTTACAGCCATTATCAGACCTTCAACATCTCAAAACGCAAATTGTATTTTGTCTAGCTGTGAAATTGATCTTAAATACCAAAGCAACTCTAGATGGCGCATGCTGATAGGTCCTTCACTTAATTAGTTAGTTATCACATCGTTATCTGATTGGTTTCTGTTGCATCAGCGGCCAATGGGTTGCGGCTCAACGTTTAAAAAATGTGTGATTAACTGGGCATAGCATTGCTATGAAAGCAAACTGTGCGATTTCAGCAAAGTTGTTTTTCTGTAAACGCTCTTTCTGTTAAATGTCGGTTATTATTAACTATGGCAGAAAAATATTTTATAATTATTAAATCAATATTTATATTTATATTGATTAGCTCTATAAAATCTACTATGTTTTTTTATTTGAGATATATTGAGGGTCATTTGTTTTGTGTAGATATTCATGTATGTATTACATTCATTTAATTTACCGTTGTGAATATCCGAGTGTATGGTTAGTTCCGTGCGACTGACACTAGGGGGCGAAATGCGACAATCGTATGCGAATGTCGTGTGTGCAGTGGAAAGGCGGCTTTACATTGATAGAGAGTAGATTGCATGCGTGGATTTATTCACACATTATCCACCTTATTCTGCTCTAAACAATGCGCGCTACCATGACGACGACTCCGGTTGCCAACTTCCGGTTAGTTTCTGGTCTATGCTCATCATCTTTTATCATAATCATCTCTCTTTTTTATTTTAAGTTGATACATTCTCAATAAATGGTTGAGAGCAAAGCACTTTATAAATTTGACACTATACGTCTCTCCTCGGGTTATTTTGACACAAAATTCATTTTTAAAAATTGAGTGTTCATTGGAGTGGTAGACCTTGTCAGATTTTTCTCACGTAAAAATGTGATTGTGGTTGTAACAAAAATAGTAACAAACCCTTCCCTCGCAGGCCAATTTGACCATTTGAAGAATGTGCTTGTTAAAGGTGCAATGTGTACAAATGTTGAGTATCTATTAACAGAAATGCAATATGTGATCCATAACAATGTTTTCAGTAGTGTATAAAGAACTTACTTAATACACCGTAATGTTTTTTTTTTATTAGAATGAGACATTTATATCTCCATAACCGTGGGCACCCCCTTCTATGAAGGTCGACATATTGTGACGTCATGTTTCTACCGTAGCTGAACGCGAACACACAGCGCTACAGAACGCTTTTCGTCACTACCTTGAAAGAGAAGCAGCAGTAAGCTAGAAGCAAGCCATAAACACCGTGAGTACTGACTTTTCCCTTGTGAGTGGTGTAAAATATGTATTTGGGATTGTTTCATGTAACTTAGTTCTCCCTCGCTGTGTTATGGGTTTGTTATGTGAGGATAAATGTGCTGTTACGTTCGTGAGACAGCTGATTAGTACTCATGTCATTGACCGTAAAACAGTGTGGAAAAAATGATAGCTGCATAGGAGAAAAAATAATAGCTGCATAGTTTCATGTGGTTCTTCTCCCTCGCTGTATTATAGGTTTGCTATGTGGGGAGAAATGTGCTGCTGTTACGTTTGTGAGACAATCAGCTGATTAGTATTATTATATTAAATTATATATTAAAACCCTTGATCCTCATCTGACTATGGCTTTGTAATCTGTATCCATGATGTGGTTTATAATGGACTGTGGTACAGAAACAGTGACAATGTTACACACTCTTGGCTTACTCTGGCTATTCTCTGCTGTCTCAGACGACGATGTTTGTCCCGTTTTAGCAACCGTAGCTTCTTCGAAAGGGAGGGTTGAGCAGTGGGTTGAGCTCTTAGTGCAAACTCGCAACCGAACCACTAGATGTCGCTAAAAAGCACACACTGCACCTTTAAATTTTCATTATTGTTAAAATATAGTAATTTAGATCTCAAAATAAATAATGGAAAAAAAATTAAATGTAACGATATAAGCTTTCTCAACAAAAAAGGCTTCCATAGAACTGCTCATTAAAATAATGGTGCCAGTTTACTTACTCACAATATTCATTAAAAGCCATGTTATATTTTTTCCCACATGAGGTCAGCAGAGACAGCCAACACATGACTTTTTAAACTGAATTTAGCATATTCTGCAGTTATTTTGTTTTTAAATAATGTGAATAACATGCTTTTTAAAATATGTAAGTTTAGAGATCTATAAAAAACTGTAAAAAAAAATGTTTTAATTAAAAATAGAATGAATGATATAAGCTCTTTGGACAAAAACAATGAAGCTTAATTAAAGCTTTGGGTCATGACTCGTGAGGGAAGAATGTGTAATTCAGACACAAGGAGAGTAATGAAGTATGAAGTTGATTAAACTATTGGTCAGCTTCACCTTTGTACTCCAATATTAATTCTAAGTTTAAGGAACTCCAATATATGTGCAAACAACTGAAGTTTCTTAGTATACCTACAACTTTAAGGCAGTCAGGTTACAAATTATTTTGTGTTTAATCAGCTAGTTGAGGCCACCATTTTACAAGAGGAAAAAGGGAAAATATGTTGTAAATCAAATCTATGAAATAAAATTAGAGGCTTTTAACTGATCTGACATCAGAGCCCAACACTCAAATGTGTCACACAAGAGTTACATATTTGAATATCTGAACAACCAAATTCTGTATTCTGAAGTTTATTTTTATTTTTTAATGAAAGATTTGACCAAGACAGTAATAGTGACAGTAAAATATACGGTTACAAACAGCAAAAGTTGATATGACACATCTGTTCCAGATCCTGCCTACATTACTGATACATAATAAATATAACATGATACAGTGTACCACTTTCTCTGTAGGTGTGTTAAAACATTTATAGATACAAATATCTTATGATTGCAGGCCTTGTAGAGTCTTTCACTCCCAGTCTGACAAAGAACAGGGGCTCCTGAATTCCTGTCCAAACCCACTTATCCATTTATTAGCCACTGAAAAAAAACAAACAAACAAAAAGCTTCATCCGCTTTTCTTTTCAAATGATTCATGACTGAATTGATTTTCTCCTCAAAGACAACAACTGTTATAAAAAAAGCTGTTCACAGTATGATTGTTTGGTTCAAGAATACCATACAATAGAAAAAAGGGCAGTAATATATTTATCTTATAAAGTACATTCACAAATAAGATGCTTAGATTAAATTAATTTGTATTTTGATAAATCTACATACAGTATATGCAATGTCTTATGAATATAAAATTTAGATACATTAATGTACATTTATACATTGAAAATACACATCAAAAGTTTCAAAATAATGTCATCAAATCAGCCAAATATATTTTAGATTTATCAACCTAATTTATTTAAAAACCTACCCCATTTGTTACCCATTAGCACAGGGCATCCAGCGTGCAACGTATTCCAATTCCTTTCGCCATTTCTGTGGAGATTGTACCAAAACACGGCTGAACCCTGCAAGAACAGAGAGAGGATGCTGAAATTATTCTATTTAATTAGTACTTCAATTATCCTTTTATAAATCACAGAAATGAGGGGTTTACCTTTTTTGGCTGGACTGCAACTCCAACTTTAGGGAAGACAGTGGCGCCCCCTATCTCCACATCACTCAACTACAGGAAAACATTTTTATTGATAGTTACACATATGTAATATTAATAGCTGTAATAGAAATACTGTTTAATGTCATTAAGGCAAATTGTTTTTCTGACAGCTGCACTTACACGGTCAACTTACATAAATGAGAAATGTAGCAATCCTGTCATTCTCTATCCCCTGTGAGGTCAAACATTCTTCAGTTAGTTTGTCATGATTTGAATGATCATCATGTAATCTAGTAAAAAGCCTGTTGACTCAAGAAAGTGGGTGGTAGTAGTAGTAGTAGTATTTACTTTTCAAACTGGACAGTGGTTTGTGCAGGCATTTTAATTTATTTTCAAAGTGGATAATTAAATGATTACTCATGAACCAATGCTGATGCAAAATTGATGCAATGTTTGTAGTGCACTTACGAATGCATCAAGATGCGGTTCATATCTTCCACCAATCCCATAATTCTGAACCTGGAAAATGATTGCATCACTCATGAATCACTATTGAAAGAGAAACTGTTAACACTCCAATGTTTCACATGGAAAATGCATGTTTATCTCCACTTACGAATTCAAGAGTGATAAATCAGGTGAATAAAAATTAATTATAAATACTTTCAGCTCCCAAAGCTTATATTGTAAGCCACTCCTTGGCAAGAGATATTAGAAAAACAAAGCAAACCAATGTTCACTGCAAAGAGTTAAGTAGTTAATCATGTCTTTTAAAAAAAGGCTTTCTGAAACAGATTATTAACACCAGGATCACGGAGTCCTACGGAGGCGTATTGCATTCACTTGAAGAAAAAAAAAAAATCTACTCTGTTTTTCTGAATTAACGAGTTAATTTTTCATGAGAAAAAAAAATTGCTCTGTTTTTCTGAATTAACGAGTTAATTTTTCATGAGAAAAAAAATTTGCTCTGTTTTTCTGAATTAATGAGTTAATTTTTCATGAGAAAAAAAATTTCTCTGTTTTTCTGAATTAATGAGTTAATTTTTCATGAGAAAAAAAGTTTTTGCTCTGTTTTTCTGAATTAATGAGTTAATTTTTCATGAGAAAATTTTTGCTGTTTTTCTAAATTAACTCATTAATTCAGAAAAACAGAGCAAAAAAAAAATCCATTAAAAATTAACTCATTAATTCAGAAAAACAGCAAAAAAAAATTCTCATGAAAAATTAACTCGTTAATTCAGAAAAACAGAGCAAAAAAATTTTTTTCCTCATGAAAAATTAACTCATTCATTCAGAAAAACAGAGCAAAACATTTTTTTCTCATGAAAAATTAACTCGTTAATTCAGAAAAACAGAGTAGATTTTTTTTTCTTCAAGTGAATGCAATACGCATCCGTAGAGTCCTGATCTAAAATAAACAAGATTAATTTAAAACCAGCTGTGCTAATCTGAATTAACATGACCTAGGTTGCCTATAAAACATGGAATCTTATTGTATGGCAGCAGAAAAAATGGACAATTCCTCAGGATAACAAGAGGAAAAAAAGAATTTTGTTGATAGGCCTTATA